GTGTGTGTGTGTGTGTGTGTGTGTGATGGGGCTTGAACTCTGGGCCTGGGCGCTGTCCCTCAACAAGCTCAACGCAAGTGCTTACCACTTGAGCCACGGTACCACTTCTGGTTTTCTGGAGGTTAATTGGAGATAAGAGTCTCATGGCCTTTCCTGTTTGGGCTGGCTTTGAACCATGATCCTCTGATCTCAGCTTCCTGAGTACACAGCTAGGATTACAGGCATGAGCCACTGGCACCCAGCTAGAGCAATACTTTTATAGATGGCTTGTCAATTACCCTTAGTAGCTGCTTGCCCATCCCCCTGCCAGCCATACCCAGTGGATTGTGAGGCATGGTATTTTCTGCTCCATTATCCCTTCCAGTCTGTCTCTCAAGTATAATTAAACTGCATTTCAGCAGATGGATTGTACAAGCAAAAGCACCAGGGCTACATAAAACTACCTGGGGGCTAAGTGATAGAAACCATTCATTTTTTTCGTATAAATGTTATTTACAATATCATTTTCTTGAAGTTGAAATTCAGGATTATAAACTCCTTTCTCTCCTGGATAAGCCAATGAGAGTGTGTCAACTCTTAAAAGCAAATAAAACCTTGCCCTTCCACAGCCTAGAACCTTTGCATAGTTGGGGATCTGTGTTACCACTCACTGGGTTTTTTCCCAGAGGTAGGAGACGATTCTCTGGTCGTCTGAGCTCTTGCTGCCATCCAAGGTTGTGCTGTCCACTGGCAGGGTCAGCTCTTTGTCTGGGCCCGCATCTGCCTGAGGAGGCTTGTTGTTCTCTAGGAGACAGACATGGGGGTCAAAAGCAGCAAGTCCAGGTGGGAAAGAAGAGGAAGCAATGGGACATTTGTTCTGGTAGCCATGGGAACTCTGCCTCTTTAGCCCACATCACAGAACTCTCAGATACGTGGGAGAGATGGATACCATGAGGGAGCTCACAATGAAGAATCAAGACTAAAACATATCAAATAATTCTGAAAGAAACAGAACATGGTATGTATGTGAGATTTAAGATAAGAGCTGAAATGGCAAAGGCTCTATCCCCTATATCTACACCAGGCCAAGGCATAAAAACTAGCCAGGAGCGGATACAAGCTGAGTGGTTCAAAGAAAACACAAGGTGAATGGAAGGATGTTGCTCTCAGAGGCTCTGTGGATTGATGCCTTCTGCTTCTATTTTCAACCAGCTCAGAACCTAAACCATTCTCTTCCTCAAAGTTAGAGGGAGAAACCATTAGAAGAGCTCGAATGAACTCCCATGACAGAACTTACCAGGCTGTACAATAACGGTTACTTGAGCAGTGGCCTGTTGTCCTACTGTGTCAGTTACTGTGAGTTGATAAGTGTAGTCTCCTTCTTGCATAGCAGAGAGCTGCAGGGTTGGTGTCCTAACACCCTACATAGAATAGAAATTTAGGAGTGGGAAAAGTGGATTTCCAGGATCACAACATTCTACCACAATTCTTACTCTGGTAGAAGTGACTTAGCCAATTTCTAAACCTACATTGTTATTGGGCAATTATGTCCCAGTTTAGCATAATGAATGACTGTGGAGTCAGATATCATGGTATCCTTTAGTTTGTACAGACTCTGCAAGAGCAGATAAACCTAACATAATATGTGAACTAAAGCCAGGTAAAATGTACACTTTAAGTACTTTAAGTGTAGAAATACAGAATGCTGAGTATCAAAAGGAACATTATAAATAATTTAAGGTAAGATTCCAATGAAGGCGCTTCCTGCAGAATAGGAGGCAAAAAACTGGCAGCCGAATCTAGTCTTGCAGACATTTTGTTTAGCCTGCACTGGCTTCAAAGTTGAAAATGTTCACACAGAGGTCTCAACTGTTGTCTGCTCTTATGGAACAGAACTATCAAGCATCGGTGGGACCACACCTGTACCTGGTAAGAGCCAGCTGTACCCCGAGGGAAAAGTGCCCCTCCAGTCATGGCTTCAGCTCTTTTTACTCATGTACCAATCTAGTCTCTTCTTAAGTATCTCAGGAGAGAAGATACCTTCTAACTAAACAATCTACTCTGATGGGAACTAAATAGTATTCAAGATTTGTACCCTTTGACTGCTAAGTAGTTAGACTTTCTTAGGTGAACACTACCACCCCAACAGGAACATTTTTCATCTAGCTTAAATCTCAAAATTTAATGTAACAACTATTGCTAACTTGTTCATCAAAGGCCCCTAAAACTTCCTGAATTTTGAAAAGTCTAAATGCATAAGTATGATTTTGATCATTTTAAGAAGGGAACATGACCAAAAAGAAATGTACTTATCAGCTGACTTATGTAACTATAACCCTTCTGTACATAACCTTTATAATAACAATAAAAATAAGTTTAAAAAATAAAAGGGGATATGAATAGAGTGGTAAATTTGATCAAAGTATATTATATGCATGTATGAAGATACCATAATGAGATCAATTCTTACCAACCTGGCGCTGATGGCTCAAGCCTATAGTCCTAGATACTCAGGAGGCTGAGATCTGAGGATTGCAGTTCAAAGTCAGCTGGGACAGGAAAGTCCCTGAGACTCTTTTTTTTTTTTTCCGATCCGGTCGTGGGGCCTGAACTCTGGACCTGGGCACTATCTCTCAGTTCTTCAGCTCAAGGCTAGCGCTCTACCACTTGAGCCACAGCCCTACTTCCGGCTTTTTTATTTTTGTTTATGTGGTGCCGAGGAATCGAACCCAGGGCTTCAGGCATGCAAGGCAAGCGCTCTACCACTGAGCTACCTTCCCAGCCCATCCCTGAGACTCTTATTTCCAATTAACCACCAGAAAACCGGAAGTGGCGTTGTGGCTCAAGTGGTAGAGCACTAGCCTTGAGCTGAAGAGCTGAGGGACAGCCCCCAGGCCCAGAGTTCAAGACCAATGACCAACAAAAAAAAAGGGGGGGGGAAGGTGGCTCAGTGGTAGAGTGCTTGCCTTGAATGCATAAGGCTCTGGGTTCAATTCCTCAGCACCACATAAGCGGAAAAAGCCAGAGGTGGCACTGGGGCTCAAGTGTAGAGCTCTAGCCTTGAGCTGAAGAGCTGAGGGACAGTGCCCAGTCCCAGAGTTCAAGCCCCACAACCGACCAAAAGAAAAAAGAAAAGAAATTAATGCACACTAATTGAGAGTGGGGAGAATGGGGCAGAAATAAATCAATACAGTGGCTCTATGACTCTGGGGGAAAAGGCCGGGACCAGTCCCTCTTACCTGCATTTCCACCACTTTTCCTTTGCTGCTTGGGCTGAGTGACCACTCATAGCTGGTGATGCCATGGTCATCAGTGCTCTGGTTCCCAAAGAGAGTGATAGAGTTCTGAGGCAGAGTGATCACTTGGTTGGGGCCTGCATTGGCCACAGGGGGGTAATCCACAGCTTTGTTCACTGTCAGGCTTGCAGTGGTAGAGCTGGTAGCTCCATCAGAGTCTACCACTGTCAAGCTATCGAGGCAGGGAAAATGCAATAGAGGATGAGCTTAAGGGAGGAGGCATAAGAAAACTAGAAGATTGAACATCAAAACTAAGAAATACCAAGTTGGCAAAAATATATATTGCTACCCATTCCTTTGGAAGAACAGAAAGAAGCTAGGTACTTCTTTCTGGTGGCTCATACCTGGAATCCTAGCTACTTAGGAGCTCTGATTGGGAGGATCATGGTTGGAGGCCAGACTACGCAAATATGTGAAACCCCTTCTCAACCAATAACTGGGCACAGTGGTGTACTTCTGTCATCTTAACTACATGAAAGGCTGAGATCAGGAAAACCATAGATCAAAGGCCAGCCTGAACAGCAAAGTCCATGCGATACTATCTTTGCAGAAGAAGCTGGGTATGATGGTACAACGCTGTGAGCTGAGCTACAATGAGAAACTGAAAATAGAAGGATTGTGGTCCTTTCTGCCTGAGCAGAAACGCAAGATCCTATCTTAAAAATAACCAGTACAAGCCGGGCACCTGTAATCCTAGCTACTCAGGAGGCTGAGATCTGAGGATCTCGGTTCAAAGCCAGCCTGGGCAGGAAAGTCCATGAGACTCTTATCTCCAATAAACCACTAGAAAACTGGAAATGGAGCTGTGGCTCAAGTGGTAGAGTGCTCACCTTGAGCTGAAGAGTGCAGGGACAGTGCCCAAGCCCAGGGTTCAAGCCCCACGACCGACCAAAAAAAAAAAAATAACCAGTACAAAAAGGAAAGCAAAAAAGGTTACCGATGTGGCCCTGTTTAATAAGCACAAGGCTGAGTTCAAACCCTAGTACTGAAACTTCTTTAAAAAAGTAGAAAGTAACACTAGAAGTTAATATTGACTAAGGGTTTCCTATTTACCACATGCCAGGTACTGCTCCAAGAGCTTTGTATTTCATTGCACCCATTCAAAAGCTCTATCCAGTATATCATATTTTTCTATAAATATATGGGGAAACCAAAGCAAAGAGAGGTAAAGTAACTTGCCCAAGATCCTACAGCTTGACAGGCAATATGTGTCCAACACCAGTTTTCTCTGCTGCCTGTGCACACCTATGCTGAGAGCTCATAAGCATTGTCTGATACAGTCCAACCATATAGAGCAGCTAAGCAGCTGCTAAGCTAATCCAACTCTACAGAAGGCTCAGAGAGGCAAGTAATCTGCCCAGGGCTACAAAGTGAGCCAAAATGCAAGTCTAGTTCTCTGATTCTAATCCTCAGAGACTCATTTGTTTTGTTTTGTATTTGTTTTAAGACAGGGTTTTGCTATGTAGGTGAGGTGTGTCTCAAACTTGCAAACTAACTATCTCAGCCTCCTGAATGCTGAGATCACAGGCATGTTCCACCATGCCCATCTTAGAACCCTATTCTTTTTTTTTTTTTCCACTTCCAGAATTCTATTGGTTAACTTAAAGATAAGGATTTCAGGGACTTTTCTGTCCTATGGAGGCTGGTTTTGAACCATGTAGTCCCAAGTGGCTAGGATTACAGGCGTAAGCCACTGTTACCCGAACCCTCCCTCCTTTTATCATATGAACATATAACTTCACGTAAAAGCCAGGCCATCTTTTTTTAACTTCATTTGCACTTATTTGATGCTTAATGTATTCACGAGCCATTAAAGGGTGTTTTGTTTGCTTTTGCTTTCCTGGGATCCTGGGTTTTTGTTTGTCAGTCATGGGGCTTGAAATCTGGACCTGCATGTTGTCGAGTACTCTATCACTTGAGCCATAGAACCACTTCCAGTTTTCTAGTGGTTAATTGGAGATAAGGCTCACAGATTTTCTTGCCCAGGATGGCTTTGAACCTTGATCCTCAGATCTCAGCCCTGAGTAGCTAGGATTACAGGCGTGAGCCACTGGCACTCGGCCCTGGGATCTTTTTCTTCTGTGCCTCATCTTCTGGTTCAGGAGTAAATTTCATTTCAGTGTGACAACTTAACCATGAGCTTTGTAAGCTCAGGGGCACATCTTGGATGCTTAGTAAACCTGGGTGGGACATTTAAGTTACTTACCCTATAGAGTCAAAGCCTAGCTTAAATGTCTGCTAAATGTATGAGTTTTACTGAGCACCAGAACTCAAGAGATCCTAAGTTACAAATGGTCTTAGTGTAAGGGAAGCTGGCTGGCTCCTGGAATGGAAACAGGATTTTCATGAAGTTAAGAATCATGCGTTCTGAGCTGTTTCTATTTAGAACCCTATTCTTAAGAAGAGATGATCTGTGGACACCATTACCCTGGAGTTTAAAGATGCCACACTACATAGAACATTCTGTCTACATCAGGTTGCCCCTCTTTAGCCTGCTTCGACTGTGTGCACATCACAAGAATGGACAACCTGGGCATAGAGCCTCTGGGACAGACTAGGAAGGCTGGCTCCAGCAAAGACAGGAGCTTGAGATGGAAATGAATTCTCCTACGCAACAGGCCCACAGTGTGTGCCAGTGAGAAACAGGATCTGCAAGGGGAAAAATGTTCTTTTATAAAAAAGCAGGCTTTTACCTAAATGATGCCTTCCAGCTGAACAGTCTAAAGCTTCTCATGCCACCTCACAATGTGAGCATAAGCAAGCAAGGAGGGTTGGGATCCTTCCATTTTGCTGACAGAAAGAGGAAAAGCATAAAAAAGACATGCGGTTTGTTGAACTCTTGCCACAAGCCTCAGACACAGCAAGGTGTCTGTGAAACCTTCCTCCTGTAATCTCCCCTATCACCTGTGGCCCGCAGGGGATTTGGGTACTACAGCCTTTAGGAGAAAAGCAGGAAAACTGGGACATATAGACATGTACAAATCAGCCAGCCCTGGAAAGGGGGGGAAAAAATCACAGATGTTCTGCCTCTTCTCTCAATTTCCCTGTTGTTTTCACAAGTTTGTTGTTATTGTTAACAGACCCCACTCCTGTGTCAGAGCAGAAGTGAATTACAGACAGATGGCAAAACGGCAGCTGTCCATTCTTCTAACTTTCACCCCAAACAGACCCTGGCTTGCCTGCAGCACTCTGGAGCAAACAACAGCTGACTCCAAGGCTAGACAGAGAGACTAATGCCACATAAAAGTAGGAGAGAGGGGAAAGTAAGTAAATACCAACCAAACTGAACCTTAATGCTAATCAAGTCTAATTCCAGCATCTCACAATAAAATAAAAAAAAGAGGGCTAGTAATAAAATCACTGTTGGTACCTCATTGACCCAACAAACTGTAAGCTACCATTATGGTTAAAAGCATAGACACTGAAGTTAGAATGTTATATGCTCTTTTTTTTTTTTTTTTTTGTGGGTTATGGTCTGGGCCTGGGCACTGTCCCTGAGCTCTTCAGCTCAACTACCACTTGAGCCACAGCACCACTTTTGGTTTTCTGGAGATAAGAGTCTCACAGACTTTCCTGCTTGTGCTGGCTTTTAACTGAGATCCTCAGATCTGAGCCTCCAAAGTAGGTAGGATTACAGGTATGAGCCACTGGCACCCAGCTACTATGTGCTCTTGAGTAAATTACTTAACCTCTTTGTTCCAAAATGTCCTAACCTGTAAAATGAGAGAAGCCACAATGCATGTTAAAAGATTAAATAAAACACTACAAGCTAAGAGATCAGAAAAGTTTTTTGCATATATTAAATATTCAGAAAACTAAGTTATTCTTGTCACTGTGTGTGTGTGTGTGTATGCACGCGCGCGCGCGTGCACGCGTGCACATACATACATACTCCATTAGTAGGACTTTAGGACCTTTTGCTCTCACTCAGCTTTTTCTGCTCACAGTTGGCATTCTACCAATTGAATCACACCTCTGGCTTGGGCTTTTGGCTGGTTAACTAAGAATCAGAGTCTCTCAGATTAGTATGCCGGGCTGGCTCAGATCTCAACTTCTTCAGTACCTAAGATTATAGGAGTAAACCACTGGATCCATCTGGGTTTTTGTTTGTTTGTTTGCTTGCTTTGGGATAAAGTCTTATGATGTATGCCATGAAACTCTTTCTGTGGCCCAGGATGGCCTCAAACCTATGTTGCTCCTGTCTCAGCTGCCTGAGTGCTGAATACAGGTATCTTCCACCATACTGCACTTTGTTACTATTTTTTTTAAGTGCTCAACATGGTCCAAGCTAAATTCTATAAATGGGAAATTTCCCATTCTAGAAATCTAAGGTAAAAAACAATTCAAATTTCCATTTTAAGCCAATGAATAGGAAATAATCTTGCTGTACTAGCGGCTGCCTTCCATTCATCTGCAACCATGAGCCAAGAGAGAGTGCTACTAAATCAGAACCTGCATATTGGTGTATGTGGTAAGGACTGTGTATGTGGCATTCTGTTTCCAGAATGCCAAAAACTTGATATACCCCAGACCCCCAGGTACCAGACACCCATGCATATGCTGTTACATTATGGTAGAAACCTATGAGGCATCCTCTCGTTGGAGGGACTACAGAAGGCTTCATAGGAAATTAAGCAAGAGCTTTAATGGTAAGCAGCACTTCAACAGATTAATAAAAGAACTCAAGGAAGAATAAATAAAATATATGGATCAAATCAAGGAGAAAACAGAAACTGCTTTCTAGTGTGTGACACAAGCAACTTCATTTTTCTCAGCTCAATGAATACAGTGTCATCTAAACATGGCATTTACATGATACTTATGTACAAATACTTCAGAACGTAAAAGGAATTGTGTTCATATAAGAACTATGTTCATATAAGAATTAAACTACACAGAGCCTTATAAAATACATTCTAAAATGTCCACACCAATTTCTCAAAGGTCTTTCTGTGATTCAGATTCTCCAAAAAGTCACAATAAAGAAAGATCCTAGGGCTGGGATATAGCTCAGGGCAAAGCACTTACCTAGTAAGTGCAGTGTCCTGGGTTTGATCCCCAATATCAAAAAGAAAAAGAAAAGACCAAAAAATACACTTTAAAAAAAAAAGAGAAAGAGCCTAAAAATCATATTCAAACAAACCACAAACAAAAAGTAAAGATTCTGAGATATCCCAAACCAAGGGAGCTTTATCCAATGTCCTTCAAAATTTTGCCAGTAAGGAGAAAAGAAACAAGGAAGATGGGCCCTTACAGTTGATGGCAGAAATCCTAGATGTTTGGATCTTCCAGAAAAAGTTTTGAGAGGATAAACTGTGGTCTTGTTTATTATGCAAGGACTGTGCTCTATGCAGTTACCACTAGGATGCTCAGAGAACCAATAGAACAAAAGGCTGCATTATCAGTCAATCTGACAGTGAACTGATATTTATCAAGTCACTCCCTTAAAAATGTAAAAGTGGCTCAGTGGAGTGCTTGCCTCACATGCATGAGGCCCTGGGTTTGATTCCTCAGCACCACATAAGCAGAAAAAAAGCTGGAAGTGGCACTGTGGCTCAAGTGGTAGGGCACTAGCCTTGAGCTGAAGAGCTGAGGGAGAGTGCCCAGACCCAGAGTGCAGCCCCCATGACCAACAACAACAAAAAAAACTAAAATAAAATAAAAAAAAAAAACAAAAAGGTAAAACCCTCAGTGGGAAAAAATGACTTATGATCAACTTGAATCTGAGTCCCAACTTACCTGAAGGTGTAGTTCCCAGGGACAAGCTTACTTAGTTTCAAAATAGCTTTATCTTCAGAAATTTTCTCTTCTCTCAGAGGCCCTTTAAGTTCTTCCCAATGGTACTGGACAATTTTATCATCATCAGTGCTTTCTGGACCATAAAGAAAACCAGTTACAAGGTAAGAATCTTAGGTCTCAGCACTTATCCAGTTTTCACAAACCAGGGCAACAACTTAAAAAGATTCGATGTAGGAAAACCTCATGAGAATACATACTTCCTCTCTGAAGTGTTTCTTCCCTAGGTATATTTGGTCATTTGGCCTATATGAGTATTCCATTGCATAGCTTCCCAAAGACTCCAACATAGGAAATCTCTGGTTAAAATGCTACTAACTATATGAAGATAAGGGAAATCAGTAATTTTTTTTTGGGGGGGGGGCTCCGGTCATGGGGCCTGAACTCTGGGCCTGGGCGCTGTCCCTCAGCCCTTCAGCTCAAGGCTAGCGCTCTACCACTTGAGCCACAGCGCCACTTCCGGCTTTTTTCTTTTTTGCTTATGTGGTGCTGAGGAATCGACCCAGGGCCTTCGGCATGCAAGGCAAGCGCTCTACCTCTGAGCCACCTTCCCAGCCCATGAAATCAGTAATTCTTAATCATAGGAAAATACTCAACCTCACTAAGAAGAAATGAACATTAAAATTACTTTTGAGCCAGGCATTGGTGGCTCATGCTTGTAATCTTAAGTTTCTTGAAGGCTAAGAAAAAAAGGAAACAGGAAAGCAAGACCCTCTCTCAAAAAATAAATAGCATAAAAAGAATAGGAGTCATGGCTCAGTAGTACAGCACCTGCCTAGCAAACTCTAGGCCAATTTCAATCCTCAGGACTGCAAGCACACATACACCACAAAAAATACATTGGCAATATTGAAATTTAAATTCAAGACCTCATGCTTGCTAAGCACATTTTAACCTATCAGAATGGCTTAAAATCTTTCACAGGACAGTATTTGGGTAAATAAGGAGAGAAAGTGGCCCTTTCAATTATCATGGTAGGGGCTGGGAAGGTGGCTCAGTGGTAGAGCACTTGCCTTGCATGCCTGAGGCCCTGGGTTCGATTCCTCAGCACCACATAAGCAAAACGAAAAAAGCCGGAAGTGGCGCTATGGCTCAAGTGGTAGAGCACTAGCCTTGAGCGGAAGAGCTGAGGGACAGCGCCCAGGCCCAGAGTTCAGGCCCCACCACCGGACCAAAAAAAAAAAAATTATCATGGCAGAAGCATAGGCTGATCTAACTCACTACTGTATAATAAGTGCTTTGGCAACATTTATCTTTTTTTTAAACAAGGAGGATGAATACTATATGCATATTTTCTTATATATGCATAAAAGACCTATGGAAAAAAGGTCTTTCTTTCCAGAAAGCTGGAAGAAACTGGATAGTTAGGATACAGGCATGCCATCATTCTGTTCAATGAATACCTTTATATATTAGTCAACTTTCAGTTGAGTATTTCTATCCAAAACAAGAAAAGAATCCAGTGCTATGAAAAAAGGAAGTGGCGCTGTGGCTCAAATGGTAGAGTGCTAGCTTTGAGCTGAAGAGCTGAGGGACAGCACCCTGGCCCAGAGTACAGGCCTCACGACCGGACCCCCCCCAAAAAAAAAAAGAACCTCTCATATCACATATGGACTCTGCATAAAAAATTTAAAAAAAGAAGAAAGAAAGAAAAGAATCAACTAAAGTAATTGCAAATATATACACAATCTTACTTTCTTACCACCTCAAATCAAGCAAGCCACATGGGATTTTAAGTAGAGCCTGGCTGGCTGGCTACTATCAGTTGCTTCAATACTTGGTATTCTTATAACATAGTCTAAGACAGAGCTGGCCCCAAATCGTCTAAGAGTACACTGTGAATGCTCTTTTACAACATCACGCTTAGACAAGGACTCACGGCTGCCATCAATGACTGTAGAAGTGGTTGGCAGAGAGATCTCCTGGAACTGAGGTGACACGATAGCAACAGGAGGCTGATTCTTACGGGGCTCTGTAAGAAATGATCCAGAAGAAATTGGAAAGGAGTGTTATAAATTACAGGAGGTAAGGCAGGCATGGTGGAACAAACCTATCATCCCAGCACTTGGGAGGCAGAGGCAGGAGGATTCTAAATTCAAGGCCAGCCAGGATTACCTAGTGAGACCCTGTCTCAAAATAAATAAATTAGCCAGTTACTTAAAGGTGAGGTCATATCTGAGGGATTTAGAAGTCAGTATCTATTACATAACAGATGGCTGAAGCATCAAAACCAAGTGGCCATTCTTAACTTAAGACACTTAAAAGTGTATTATAGCATCTTCCAAACCTAAGCCTGTGCTGTTTTTCCCACTTAAGACAGGGTCTTGCTATGTAGCCCAGGCTAGTCTCACAATCGTGATTTATGTCTCAGCCTCCTGCATGCTGGGATTACAGGAAGTGCTACCACATGTCCCTGTGCATTCTTTCAATGCTGATGTATGTCCAACTCATAAGCAGTATAATAGCCATCAGTGACTGCCTTCAGGATATTCTGATTAGAGGTAGACAATGAAAAAGCTTGTGCATTAAGAACCTAGGCAAGTAAACCATCTTAACCATCTCTGATTTGAGTTGTGTGTGTGAGGTAACTGGCTGAGTAAAAGGAAGGTCACAAACCATTCTGGTCCACCTAAATGACTGAGCTACAAAACTTCCATCATTTTCTTTGAGAAAAAGATATTGCTATGATCAGCATGACCATTTGATCCTGCTCCTTCTCCCCACTTTCACCATGCTGAGGATTTAACCCAGAGCTTCATTCGTGCTAGGTAAGTGCTCTACAACTGAGCTACACCCACAACCCACTTTTTAAAAGGTGAAAAGGCAGCCATGCACCACTGGTTCATGCCTGTAAACTGAGATTTGAGAGTTGCTGTTTGAAGTTAGCACAGGCAGTTAAATCCATGACTCTTTTCTCCAAGTAACCACCAAAAAGCCAGACAGAGAGCTGTGGCTTAAGTAATACAACACTAGCCTTGAGCATAAAAGCTCAGGGACAGTGCCCAGGCCCTGATTTCAAGCCCCAGGACCAGCATCCAAGAAAAAAAAAAGTAAAAAGACTTGGGTTCAAAGCCCAAGAAATGAAAAGATCAATTACCAACAAAGACAGAAAGCTGCATTAGTGATAATACATGTACCAATCTTCAATGTCTTTAAAATTTCTCTGAAAATACCAAACAGGATACCTTGTAACTGCATTGTGATCTACCAACAGTGACTCATTTAAAAAGCATGACTGAATGGATTTGGTTTCCAAGGTGAAAGAACTAGATTTAAATGAAGAACTCTGTTCAAAGAACTACATCTCTAGAAAGCAACCAGACAGAACTAGTCACTTGACTGGTTTACCTTCCGGAACAGTGGTACTGGCTTTCTTGGGTTTCTTAATTACAACATATGGTCTCTTCTCAGCAGGGCCCACTTGGAGAAGTAGTTTTGTGGTAGACAGGTAGATCAGGCAATACTGCACTATGGACCCTAAGACTAATATCTCCCTGCCCAGCCCAGTGTTCCAACTAGTACTCTTAGAACAAATATGTACTGTGCTGCTATAATCTTATACTACACTGAACCAGGAACTGCCCAGTAAATACATTAAAAAAAATAATAATAATGTGAATTGTAAATCCCAAAGTCTAATCTCCTTGTCCTTAGAAGTCCTGCAGAGGGAGCAATGGGACATGGCCAGGGATTGAAACACATACCTGGCTTTACTGTCACATTCACATAGCCTTCCCCATGGGCATTCTGACCATCTACAATCACTTTGAATTCATACAGGCCTGGAGTCAGCTGCAGAAGTGAGAGAAGATCTTTTAGACAACCACAAAGAGCAGCAATTGTATTAGATACTATATGGATCTGAGCTTTCCGAAACATGCTGAATTTTGTACTCTTTTCTGCCCTATTTCCAAAATGGAAGTAACTAGCCATAGCTATTACAGAATGAGCTAAACTATTAAAAACTAAGAGTTTTTACTGTGAGTCTTATTTGTAGCTGTCTCTAGAACAACAGAAGGGATTACAATCTCTCTGTACTCTCATTTTCTTCTCAGAAGAACATTAAGGGCCCAACCATCCTACTTCACAGTTATGAAATAAAATAATCATCTCTTGAAAGAAAAACATCTTATAAAAATACCAAGTAGTTGCCAAGTATGTGAAAATTTTTCCTCCCAATTTCCACTGACAGTATAAAGATAATATAAAGGGGGGAAACAATAAGCTCATCTACCATCTCACTAACATACTTATACTTCCTACTTTAACATGCTAATACTTCCTATTTCTCTATTTCCATCTCTGACCACATACCAAAAAAAAAATAGTTTTATCCAGTTCATTCATTCAAACACTTCTTGAGAGACAATTGCATATGAGTCACTGTTCCAGGCTTGAGGTTTAGAGGTGAACAAGTAAGACCCCTACTTTCCAGGAGCTCAAATTTCAAAAGTATCCAGAGTCTAATTTTAAAAAATCAAGGTAGGGGCTGGGGAGGTGGCTCAGTGGTAGAGTGCTTTCCTTGCATGCATGAGGCCCTGGGTCTGATTCCTCAGCATCACATAAGCAGAAAAGCCAGAAGTGGGGCTGAGGCTCAAGTGGTAGAACGCTAGTCTACAGCTGAAGAGCTGAGGGACAGCGCTCAGGCCCAGAGTTCAGGCCCCCAACCAAGAAAAACAAAATAAAAAAATCAAGGTATAGAACTTTTTATTGTTCTTTCTTCCTTTCATTTAGCATGAATCCCTTTCCCATTATGATATAATTTTTAAAATATCCATTTGAATGACTATGGCATAATATATGGAAAAATGTATCATAATTTATGTAAACATTCTACATTGTTGGAAATTTCCGTTGTTTTCAACTTTTTGTCATTATATACTACTATAATAAACATCTTTGAGGAAAATAAAGCTTTTGTTTCTTTTAAATTATCTTTTTTTTGGTAACTGGCAAAAGTAGTGTTTCATACTACCTTTTTTCTTCCTGGGCTGTCACCTCATTTCTTCCCTCAATGTCAGCATGCCCAGGACTACTACCTTAGCCCACTTATTTCTTCCCTCCACATACTCTATCTGATCTTAGCGATGACTATGGCTTCAATGATCATCTACTTGACATTGATGTGCAAATTTATCTCTTTAGCCCAGACCAGTCTCCTGGTATGTCTAACTCCTTTCCCCTACCTACTAACAGGACAATTCCACTCAATGTCTCAAAGGTACTTCAAATTCACTCTGCCCCAAAAAAGATTAATCATCTTCTCCCAACCTGTTTCTCCTTCTGTGCTCCTCATTTTAGTGAACATCCACCCACATGCCTAAGCCAAAAAGCTAGACTATCCTAGGCTTCGCTTTCCCAACACCTCCATGGAATTCACTGATCATCAGTTTCATGAAGATGTCTTCCAAGTTTTCTCTCCATACACACTGCTATCACCTTAGTTCTTAACCATTCCTCACAGCAAGTATGAAAGTTTGGGCTTAGAAATAGAGGCTCCAGTTCAAACCCACCATTAAAAGCTTTGTGATTTTTTTCCCAGTTTTAGTTTTATTATTTGTAAAATGAATATTAATGCCTGTTATGGAAATTAAGAGAAATAAGTGAGTAAAACAACAAGCATCATGTCTGACATGTGGTATGAGCTCAAGAAATGGTTTCTTTCCTTCCTTCCTTCTTTCCCTTCCTCCCTTCCTTCCTTCCTTCCTTTCTTTCTTCTCTATCCCTCCCTCTCTAACCCCTTTCTTTCCTCCCCCGCCCTTTCTTTTTGCTTTATTGGACACAGGGTCTCACTATGTAGCCCAGATTGGCCTCAAAAATTACACCCTCCTGCCTCTGCTTCCCAAGTGCTGGAATTATAGACAGACACTATCACACCTCACTATTTAGTTGTTATTTTTGTTTTATTTTACTCAAAAAAAAACCCATAACTTTCCACCTAAGTTTTTAAATAGATTACTCAGTGGTATCCCTACTTTGAGTCTTATGTTCTTCCACTTGTGGACAGGATGATCTTTCTACACTGAAAATCTAAACATGTCTTTCAAAGGCCCCCTATCTCCTCTAAGTAAGAGTCAAAGTCCTTAATTGGACATACAAGGTTCTGTGTGACCTGGCCCTGTATCCTCATAATTTCCTTGAGCCACTGTGGTTCTGTCTTAGAGTCCAGTCAGGCCAAACAGTCATTCCTTTTCCACACTTCCTATCTCATGTCTGGTTCAGTAGACAAACTGCTTCTTTCACTTAGGGTGCTCTCCCTCTATTCTTTACCTACCTTTCATGACCCAAGTAGGTAAAATCTAAACAGTCTACTCTAAACCTTAGGTCTTCAGTTTTCTCTGCACTGACCTAGTATATCATCTGTTATAATGATCTACTTCCTATCAATGTCACCTAAACTCTATTGTCCTTCAACATTAAGATTATGAATAATTCACTGGATAATCCCAAATTTATATCATAACCAGGGCACAATAAACAGCTATTGAAACAATAAATCAGTGGGATTGCTGAACCAAAGAATATGAACATTTTTATGGCTCTCACTAACAATACTGAATCCCAAAGGGATTGAGTCAATGTACACAGTTATTTGGCCACAATAATCTAGCTCATGTTCTAAATTCAAATGTAGTTATGTTAAGCCTTCAAAACTGCTTGGTATATAATATTTGCAGCCATCAATCACTACCATGCTGGTAGTATTCTCATGAGAAGTGAACGTTAGAGAGTTGTACACCAACCAACACTAGATGACTCCAGTCTGACTTTTGATGGATTCACTTCTGAAAGACTGGTCCTACCTTAAGTATAGAAAGGGAATTCTACACTATCCATTTTAAATAGCCCTGAGAGTAAAAGGAGGCAAATTCACCTTGGACAGTTTCAGGACCTTGGAATGTTCCCCTTCCATTTCTCCACTGTAGTCTTTAGGATGAGTAATCAGCTGCCAGTCGTAGGTGTAGGTTTCTCCTATAGAAGGGCAGTTACAAAAATCATGAAAACACACACCTACACACAAAGAAGCTGCCAATAACAAATCTTTGCTAAAGTCTGCCAATAACAAATCCCTTCTAAGTCTTGACAAAGCCTTAGTTTTTAAGATTGTACTCCACAGTCTATAAGGAAACCATTCCAGAAGCTGACAGGAAGGGTGGATTCTGCTGACTCAGTCACTATCTCAGCTTCTTCCACTCTCTCTCATCTGTGCTCATTCTTACCCCTAATACCCATCCTCAGGCCAACCCTCCCATAAAAAAAAAAAAAAAAA